AGTTTGGCCTAATGCATTAAAATAAAAAGAATCTCTGTAAGAAAAAACCCACAGGCCTTCATTAGGGACTTTGTCTGCTCCCACTGAAGACAATGACAAAACTGTCATTGATTACAGTGGCGCACCATCAGCGCCTATTTTGTCAAGGAAAAATGAGTATGGGAATACTCAAACTACCTACAGCTCTGACTATGGAAGAAGAACTATTAACAAGAAGAGGAAAGTGTAGAGCTTTAAAAAGGCACAGTGTTTCTGAGCCATGTAGAACTGCCTTGGAGCTTTGTGTAAATGTACACTGGACATGTTCAACCATGGGGAAAAAAGGTTGTAAAAAGAGTAATATAATGGTGACCGAGGAACTGGGAGACAGAGCTGCTTTGCTGTTTTCTCACTGATTTGATCTAGAACATTTTAGTTCTGCCAGCCTAATTATAAAAGCACCTCTATGATTTCTTTAGTATCTTTTTTCATTCATGAAAACTTCAGTGTTAAAGAAAAAATAACTTCACAGAAGTGACAATGAAATAGTCTGTGACATCTCATCGGCTTTATCCCCGATGAGATGGGATTGAGGCCTAGGTTCAAACCTCTCCTCTATCACAAGAGTCCTGTGTAACACCTGGGGAAGATATTTAGGGCTAGATCCACAAAGAGACATGGGCGCTGCAATGTCAAACTTTTAGGTGCCTACTTCCCAGTGAAATCCTCACATAGGAACCCAGGTTCGCCACATAATACATGAGTGGCTGGATGCCTAAGTAAGGCATTCAGAACAGCCAGCAAGCTGAGCAAGATTGATAAAACAGAAGAGGGAATGCCAAAGAGTGTGGTGAGTAGGCCCTTAAATCCAGGCCTGAGGGAGGTACCTCTCTCTGCTCAGTTGCAGCCTGTGAACCTGCTCCTGGAACTAGGAGCCTAAACCAGGCTAAGCTCTCTCACACAAAACACAAAATCAGAGATACTCACCCAGAGTTACAACCAAGAGTCAGGCAGATGGTGACACTCCCCTGGGATGTCAGAGAGGTGCTTTCCCTGCTCTGCCTGATTCGAACCAGGGACTAGGGTTGCCAGATGGTTTCAACAAAAATACCGGACACACTTGACATGACATCACAATCTACATTACATCTTATTTAGCAAATATTGGATATTTATATTTTCTCAATTTGTTTCCCGAACACAAAGCTCAAATTCTGGACTGTCTGGTTCAAAACCGGACAACTGGCAACCCTACCAGGTACTTAAAAATGGGGCCTCCAATATCCCAGAAGAATGTCCCAATCAGCAGACTATAGTCTCTCCCCCTTTCCCTTTCTGACTCAATGAATATTTAAATTTCAAAAGGAGAGACTGAGACAGCCCTTTCTCCCCCAGAATACGGAATCACCTGGAACTTAGGTGTTGCGCCATTAATATGTCATTTGTGAATCTAGCTCTCTGTGCTCAGCCCCCTTACCTGTAAAATGGAATCACACCCATTTTCCTGCCTTATAGGTGTCTTGTGGAGAAGGTTGTGAGGCACTCAGGTACTACAGTAATAGGAACTATACAAATATCTAAAATAGATTAATTTAGTAGAATAATTCCTGATTTGTACTACTACAAGGGAACTGGGGCTCTCATCTCCACAGAGGTAGTGGTATTTTCTGATGATCAAGCGATCCAACTAGCGGAATATATGCTGGTGTTTCCTGGTAACAGACCCATACAAAAACAATGCTGCTGATTTTTATGCTGACTGGATCACTACAAGTTAACTAGCAAAATCTTAGTCTAATCTCACATTCTTCAAAGACAAAAAAAAACCCCTCCCATTGAAATCAATGAAAGTTTGGGATAAGCCAGGAATATGGGATCCGGGTCACCATTCCCACAGTTAGACACATTTCTTGCTGCCCTCGCTGATGTTGGTACACCACAAAGAAGTCAATAAAATCAGTCATATTCATTTCATACCTAATCACCATGGAAAAGAATGATAGTTGTAGCAGGGGAAACAGTATCTGCCAGATGGAAAAGGACAAAAATCAGTTGGAAAAGAGTTTTATTTCCAAGCATCTACGAAATTTTACAAACAATGGAGGAGTTTAAAAAAAACCACCACAACCACCCTATAAAAATCTTGATGTTATCTTGTAAACTATGGCATCAAATGATGTTACAGAAAAAAATATGTACAGTGAAGAGTTATTCTCCATTCTAATAGTGATTAGGTAGTCGGAAACGGAATGAACGTGGCCCATTAATAACTCTGCAAACCTTAATAAAAAACAATCCAAGAATCTGAGTCTCAAATATGCCCATACTATACACAGATCTCAGCTAAAATACTTATCTGTACAATTGAAAAATAACTACATGAAAGAACAGTAGTAAAGACATATTCAATGCAGTCTATAATGAAGGGACTCTTGTACCACAGAACACAAAGGAGCTTGCATATTTACTTCTTAATCTTAAACTTCAGCTGCTAATACATTTCTAGTTCCTTTATGTTTTATTTCAATGTACAATAGATTTGCTCAGTGGTTATATTCTTCACCTTGAATGAAACAGGCAAGCGTTACTGACGTTTTCTGTCAGAGCCTGGATGAGCCCCAGTTTATACACCAAATCTTGATGTAATTCTGGTCATCATCCTTCCGGTCACTAATGGAGTGTCTGAGCCTTCTCCATGCTGCTCCTTCACTAGCTACTGGACTTGCTCAATTAGAAAAAGCAAAATTATCCTCCGCACCTACAGGTCTCCATCCTCTACCCCACATCTCCTTCAGTCCCTTGAAACATAGCTCTCTGACACACAGATGTCTACACCCTTGTACCACAACCCCAAATCCTGACTCCCTCACTGGTTCTGTTGTCAAGGGATGCCTCACACCTGTATTTGCCCCAGTCTTCATGGTTTTACTTGTTTCTTTCAGTGGCAATTTGACCAAGAAAGAAAGTTTTGCCTGAGGAAGGACTAGAAGAATTTTAAAAAATTCATAAACAGGGATGAACTTGAAAAACTGCTGCTATACTTCATTACTGCTATGGACTGTACTGTTTTCTCCATCTCATTAATTAGACTAAAAATCAGGAATTTTAAAACATTAGCACAATTTAATTGTGAGACCAGCAATTGCAAAACCATGCAAAACATTGGCCCAATAAATATTTTCCAAACAAGTAACCCATGATTCAATTCACCTTGGTCCTGGTGGTATCTCAATTGTATCCTATTCACACTGCGTAGAACAGGAATTATTTCATTACAGAATATGGATTTCACTATAATATGTGTAAAGAAGGCATGAATAGGGTCCCATTAGTCATTTCTAAAAGAAGTGATTTTGCTATAAGTCACAGTGAATGGTTATGATTATTTTTAACAAAAACACAACTGCTATTTGTATAATTCAAAAAAGCATATAAGCAGAGTTCTTTAAGAAGGGCAAGGAAAAGAAGCACAACCGTTTATTCGGTACTAAAATAAGTTCAAGTGGGGCCAGCATTTCTCAGGTCATTCTTTATTTTCTAGATGACAGTCCACTCTGTATATAGCCTTTTTCAACATTTGCCTAATGTCAGAACAGCTGAGAGTTTCCCTCCCACATGGTGTCTAGCCTAATACATTTCAAATCAATCAGCCAATCAGGGAGTACACTGGAAAAGGGGGAAGGAGTGATACCAGTCCTTTACAGTTCTGAAGACATGCAGAGCCAACACCATCCTCTAGTAACCAGAGACTTAAAAACAGGCTTCACTACAAGCGCATGAACAGCTACAAGACAGGAAAAAGCAAATAGCCCAACAATCTTATTAAATTATTATGAATTTGAAAATCTGTTCTTCCCAATGAGTAATGTAACTCCCACATGCTCATTTAAAATTATACACTTAAATTACCTTATTTAACAATTGTTTCACTACATGAGCGTTTTGCCTGAATTCCTAGTTTTATGCATCACTTCCTAATTTTTATATTCTCTCTCTCAGGTTTTCTCTGTCTCACCAACATGAACACTGCTTTACCTTGTTCCAGTTTAGTAACTAGAATAAAAACACCACAAAAAATCTTCTCAAAAACTAGTAAAAGGAAATATTTTCTTCACATAATGCATAAATAGTGTATGGAACTCACTGCCACAAGATATCATGGAGGCCAAAAACTTAATAGGATTCAAAAAGGGATTCGACATTTATATGAATAATAAGAATCATAATGTAGGCAGAGCCATAACAGTAAATATTTTAAAATAAACAAAAATGTAGGAAAGTATGTAAACCCTCATGCTTCAGGTCTTAGGTCAGCCTTTAACTGTTAGTGGTTAGAGGGTTGACTCTTCCATAACTGGCAACTGCAGGGTTTTTTGCGCCTTCTCCGAAGCATCTGCCACTCTTAATGACATTTTACAGGACAAGATGGACCACTACCATAGCATAGCAGCTTTTATGTTCTCCAGTCAGCAGTGCTGCCATTCTAGCTTCAGCATGCAAACAGGGTGCTCACATACTACAGAAATAAGCACTACAGCAATAAGCACAACACAAATATTTGTCAAAATAAATACGTGTTTGTAACAAATGACTATACTACAATATCATCCATCCTCTTCTGGTTCCCTTCATTCAACTCAAGAAATACCAACAACCAGACACCCTCATTTGTACTAAATTAATTAACAGAGGCAAATTCAACCCTCCAGTGTGCCTGGGACATTTCTACTAAAGTCAGTGTGAGTCACTGTATCTAAGGACAGAATCTGGTCCATTAAAAGTTATCGCTTGATGGTCTATATACATTTCAGTGTTTTCCTGTTCCAGACATAGTTCTTAAGGGAGAGGCTGCCGTCTACTGAACCTTTCAACATACCCATAAAACAGCACAAATTCCATTATCCCAAAAAGAAATAGGCTGCAATTCACAACTATTCTTACATCCTTAAGTCACTTAAATTAATGGTGTTAAATAAGGTACTTAAGTCTTTGTTAGCATCAGCTCAGTATTAGGTATTTACCTTTAGTCCACCACAGATTGGACAAGCTGAAAAGAGAGCTCTTGTCATCCCAGGGTGGGGGCTATATATTTCACAGGGGTCAGCTGGGATTCCACTAGGTGGTGCCAACTCACTACTTTTGGAGTCTAACACCTGTCCTTGTGGTTTTGCATCTGACCACCTCGAAACAAAATCCACATATGTCTCATCACTTGAGTCTTTGGTGCTTTCTGGGAGTAAGGATGCATGCCTCCCCCTGTCTTGGCTCTGCTCGGGGGCCATCCATGTTTCCGAGTGTGGTACCAGTACCTTAGGGTCACTAACACCTTGAGGTGCTGGGTCCTGGTCCTTTGGTTGGGTTGAATCCACACTCTTGGGATGCAGGTCTATAGCAGCTGCTTGTAATAAACTCCTGGGTATGTCATAAACATGCCTGACAGGGCTAGGAACCTGATATTCTGAGCCCAAGCCCCTCTGGAGCTCACTGTGCAAGCAAGTACATAAATTCTGATCTGAAGGAAGGGTCAATGGCAGGCTAAGCAACGATCCAAACTCATCACCGTGGCCAATATCCAGACTCTCAGCATAGGAAGAGAAACTTCCAGAGTAAGAAGAGTGACTACCAGTAGCTATCCCACTGTCAGAAGAACTCTGACGACCTATTTCCTGTAGCTGTCTAGACCGAAGAGGCTTAGGAGGTGGCTTGGTGGTGCCACGTGCCCCTTCTCCAAGTGGTTTTTCTTCCCCAAAATGAATGCCCTTTGCAGCTGCCAGTCCATGACTCTCTTGAGACGTACTGGCCGAAGACTGTTCAGGCCAAATTGTTAACCTACTCCCAACACTAGCGTCCGAGTGGCTGGTATCTGAAGATGAACTTGATAGGCTTCTATCATCTCCTGGAATAAAAGAAACTAGATCAACCCATGTTCAAAATATAATTAAATCAGAATGCAAGCAAGGACAGGACAGATACATAGAAAGGATCATGGGATTCTATTTGTCTGAGGGGAGAGCTGTTTATGACAAAATAACACAGTGCGTGTTACAACTTATACACTGAGAAAAAATTAAAAATTGGTGCCCTTAGTTTAAATTTACTGTATCTCTGAAAATATCTCACGTTCTAACCTAAATTTGAAGATGATGTGCTAGAATTTCCTCTCTGGTGTCGATCAGGAATAGATGAACTGAAGCCAATGAAATTACACTGGGGTAAAATATGTGTCAGCTTGGCTTCAGTTCAGTTATTTCTGATATATACCAGAGAGGACAAATTAAAGTATCTAAGAATGTTCCAAAATGCAAGCTTTTAATGCTAAATTGCCACAAGCTGTATATTGTAAATTTCAATGTTTGTGTTTGATTTGAAGCTGTTGAATGAAATGAGTTTTCATTTCATAGAAATCACTGAAATATAGAGCTTGAAGGTATCTCAAGACACACCCTTCCTACCCTCCCTCCTCCACATCAAGGCTGGTTTGATGCTTTTTCTCTCTCTCTCACCAAGGAATTTTAATTAAACAATTGCAAAGTCAACATTTAAAAAGGTATCAGACATAAAAAAAAATCACTTGTTCAGCTGAAGATTATCTTTGAACTGATGGACCCTGAACTAAATTCTACAATGTTCCAAAGAAAACATAACTGTAAACAACATAAGCTGGTGACAGTTATGGTTATGATGATAGCTTTGTATCCATAATATATATACACACATGTTCCATGATACATTTATGCATAAATTGAAACGATTTCCGCACTATTAGCTGTAGCAGGACTATCTGCACAGTATATTCCAGTTCAGCTGGAATTCATTTGCAAGTTCAACACTATCCATTTAAGACAGGATCTCAACTGGTTAACATAGTACAAAGGCAATTTCCCCTTTCTGGATATCCACATCAAATGCTGTGAATGACCCACTTCCACCCTGACTTGATTGGCTTTATTAACACAAGCAACTTCTTCCTTATATACACCCCGTGCTTCTGTAACGTCAACTCCAATTCATCTGACAAAAGCTTATGCCTTTATAAATCTGTTAGTTTCTAAGGTGCCATGAGACGCCTCATTGTTTTTGCATATCCAGACTGACACAACTACTCCTGGGAGACATTTCCTGACTTGAGGCTCTGCAGCAGGATCCAAAACCCACTAAAGAAATAGTCCCACTGGCTCCAGTGAACTTCAGATCATGTCCTTAAAGAAGAGGGAGTGAAGACAGCTCAGTATTTTAAAATGGAAGGCTCAAAAAAAACCAGCATTTTAAAAATATTATTTTGGAAGCCTCAGGAAAGAGACTCTCAAGATGAAATCCAGGCTTGTATCATAGCTTCATCTTGGGCATTTCTTACCTCCACTACCTGGGTGACTTGATTGGGATAGTAGGCTCAGACGCTTTTCTAATTGCAAAGCTTCATGGGTCACTCTCTCCTCCATGTAGGCTGGATTTGTGCTTGGGTCTTTAAGGAAGGAACAAATGTGGATGTAAATTTTTTTAAAAGGCAGTAAAAGTATTCAGAGAAAAACAACAACCAACTGTTATCCTGCATTTTCTCCTGTAGGCTCTCTAACCTTGCCATGCCATTTCTATTTTGTTAGTTTCCCCTCTCCAAAAGGTGATAGAAGGATTTATAAACAAATTCAGTACTTTTTTTGCAGCCATACGAGTTAGAATAATAGAAATAACCTCAAGAGGTCACCCGGCTCACCTATTTTAAAGGATCTCTCACATCAAGTGTGTGGGGTTTCTTTTTTTTAATCTTGTATGAATTGGAGATGGAAAAAGTCAATTAGATCATGCAGACCACCACTCTGTCTATATGGGACTATTGCTTACAGTACATTTCTACTAGATTAGCTCAATGAAATGTCACAATGAATGAGGATCCCACCATCTCCTTGGGAGGATAGATATTGAAAACTTCACAAACTTGAGTGTGCATCTTCCTCAGAAAACATGCCACTCTTCTCTGCATCTCTTCATTTTCCAGCTATGCACGATAAAATCAGATGTGGGCCGCAATCATTATTATATTCTTGCGACTAATTTGACAAGATTATTATAAACATCTTAAAAATGCACAGAATATTTCACAGCTGCAGTAGGCATGGTCTGCTAACTCATTCTCACTGAAGTTTCAGTAGGTCTCATAATTACACAGAAAAGAAGCAAATGTGAGATAGAATACAGATTAGCTTCGGCACAGCTGCAATTACCACATTCCTGATCACATTTACAGCCACAGCATCTATAACAAACCTATATCGGTTGGCTGAGATGGAGGACCATTTCAAATGGTGAAAACCAGGGTGATCATGATTTTACATTGTTTCTCTATTCTCAAAGACTTGGGCTTGGTTCACTCCTATGGTATAGATGCATCAAAGGAGAGATTCACCCCCATGGCTATGTCTATACTGCAGCCTTCTTCCGCAAAAGCTTATGCAAATGAAGTGCAGAGTAGAATATTGCCGTGCTTTATTTGCATAATTAATTAGCAGCCTTTTTGCACAAGAGGCTTTTGAACAAAAAGGAGTTATGTAGACAGCTCCTTTTTTGTGCAAAACCCTCCTCTTACGCAAGAGCCGTTCTTCCTGAAAAAATGAGCAAAATTGTGCAAAAAGGAGCCATCTATACAGCTCCACTGGACAGAAATGTTAGATGGGACGGATCTGGGATGTGGGCTATATTTTGCCTATCCCTGACAAGTGTTGGTTTAACCTGCTCTTAAAAATCTTATTCCTGCCAGGAGTGCCAGGACTAAACCAGATAACCTCTTGAGGTTCCCTTCCAGTCCTAGAAGTCTAGGATTCTAGTTCAGCGGTGATGAGCTTTACAAAGCACTTAGAGTGCAAGTCTGGTACAGTGGGAGAGTGAAGAAAAGCAAACTGACGATGAGTTGATTTACGTAGGCTAGGAGGAAACGTGGGTTAAAGTTTATCAGCTTCTGATCTCCAGAGAATTTTTTTGTTTTGTTTTTAAATACTGGTTTAGGTCACAAGTAAAAATGGGTCGGTGGTGTCATCCTAAACCTCATGTGTGCACAATACAAAACCACTAAACAATTTGTAATAACTCACTCTAGCAACTCCCAGGACAGTGATAGCATGACATAGTGGACATAGCTGCCTGAGGAAGTTTTTACAGCAGCTTCCCACACACCACCTAATCAGAGCTCCAAACAGAGAATCATTTCATGAACTCTCTCTTGAGCGCACGGTTTTCTATACATGTGAGCCCACCATATCTGAGCACTTACATTCATGGAAACATTGTAATAAAGAAAAGGCTTCATCACTTCCAAACAGACATGGATCCCCTACCATGAAGAAAGCTGAAATCTTGCCCTGACCCTGCTTTCCTGGTCAATTAGTAAAGGGTCGGGTGAAGGTTGAATTGACTGAGATACCTATGATGGAGGGATTTTATTTTTATCATGAGCATTGGTGGGCATTCATTAGAACCAACTGAGCAGTCCACTGTGGTGTATTTCAAATACTTTCATGCTATGAAATTTTATTCATGTATTTAAAAGCTTCGAGAGCATGGGATGAGCACTATGCAGACTCACAGAAATGTAGGATGGATAGAGACCCTGAGACGACGTCTAGTCCAGAGTTTCTCACCCAGTAGTACGAGTACCCTTAGGGGTACTTGAGAGAAGTCTGACGGGGATGGGGGGTGCATCAACACAACTGAAACTTGGAGAAAACCAAATTTTTTATTTTAAATTTTATAGTGCTTTATAATTTTTGTACTTTTTACTCCCAAAAATTTCATCGCCCGCCCAGCTATGATTAAGTTGTGTAAACAAATGTGTTGAAATAGTAGAAAAAAATTGTGTGTGTCTGAAAACTGTAGGTACTGGGGGTACTTACAATTTTTTTAAAGGGGGGTGCCTTTTTTTTTAGGGGTACTTTATTAAAAAAGGTAGAGAAATGCTGATCTAGTCCATCCCCCTGCACTGAGGCAAGGTCATGCAAACCTAGGCCATCTTTGAAAGATGTTTGTCCAGCCTGGTCTTAAACACCTCCAGTGATGGAGATTCTACAAACTCCCTTGGAGACATATTCCAGGACTTAAGTTCTGTTATACTTAGAAAGACTTTTCTAACATCTCTCCTAAATTTTCCTTGCGGCAGATTAAGTCCATTAAGACAAACCGATCATCTTAACATGTTTGATGACTGTTTTCAGATCCCCCTTTCTCCCCAGTCTTCTTTTCTGAAAGTTAAATGTGCCCAGTTTTCTTAAATCTCCCCGTTTTCTTAAATCTTTTCTTATTTATCAGGCTTTTTATAATTTTTGTTGCTCTCCTCTGGACTCTCTCCAATTTATCCACATTTTTCCTGATGTGTGACATCCAGTGATGGAAAGAGTATTCCAACTGAGACCTCACTAGAGTCAAGTAAAGTAGGCTAATTACCTCCCATATTTTCCATATTAGACATTTTCCTTTTTTCGACAGCATCACATTGTTAACATTCAGTTTGTGATCCACTATAACCCCCCAGATCCTTTTCAGACTTATTACAGTACTACTGAGACCTTAAATCCTTTGTTTTGCAGTTGTGCATTTCATCTTTCGTTTCTAACAGAAGTACTTAACACTTGCTTTTACTGGATTTTTTAAATTTTGTTAATTTCTGACTAATTCTCCAAATTATCATGGTCTCTGACACCTAACCATCTCCATCAAAGTGCTTGCAATGCCTCTCAGCTTGGCATCACCTGCAAATGTTACAAGCAATAATCTCCACTCCATTATCCAAGTCAGTAATGAAAATATTGAAGAATACTGGACCCATGCATTAATTACTAGAGAGACATTTATATATGTTTGGACGATCAATTCCAAAGCACAGCGCAGTGGTCATTCAAATGTAGAACAGGTTTCATGTACATATATCTTGAAGTATGCACATCAGAACAAAAAGTATGGATCGGGAAAATGGTGTTGTATCAAAACGCCATTAAGTTTTCTACACAACTGAACTATACTTCTCAAAACTGAATACAGGTTCTCTCAAAACTGGAAACCTCTCTAGTCTGGCACCCTAGGGACCTGACTGGTGCCAAACCAGAGAGTTTTCCAAATTACAGGAGGTTAATATTTTCTAGCCGCATTATCAACACTTCCTTTGTTTACTGGGCTCTCAGAAGGCATTTAGGGGTAAATGAGAGCTAAATCACACACAGAACACTGAGAGCAGGGACTGGTGGCTATAAACAAACTTTATGGGACCACAAGAAATTTAGCCACACCCATGATAAATGGACATCCAGCTAACTAACCATGCCAGACCACAAATGTTGCTGGACCAGAGAATGTCGGACTAGAGAGGTTCAACCTGTGTCTAAGCTGCACTTGCAAATACTGCATTTGAACAAGCAAGTATGCACGCAAACATATAATGGCCACATTTGTGTAGCTATGTATGCCCAGCTATGCAGGCAGTTAAAGCTGCCACCTTTGGAAATTAGATTTTTTTTAAAATTAGACAAATTATTATTATTATTGTGAATAAAAACAAGAGAATATGCAAATTTTCCAATTTGTATTTTTTCCATGTGCCATTTATTCTATTTTCTTTGGTTTAATACTGAATAATTTATTTATTTAGCAAAAATGTTCTGTGAATTTCTGTACATGAAAGGCTGCTATAGATGCATATCACCATGACTTCCTACCCATGGATATACTGAAAGGAAGCTTAGGGAAGTCTTTACCTAGTCTGTAGATAATGGAAGATTCAATTTCTGCTGACAATCTGACTCCTTTCACTGCACTAAATTCTCTTTCTTTTTGCAAAAAGGGTCTTTGTTATATTAAAGAAACATTAAAGGACCTTTTTTCCTTCTTGAAGTTGACAAAAAGGCATGTTTCTAAGTTCCAAGATGTCTGAGAGGTGTAGTCAAAGGCAAAAATCCAAAACCCATCAACAAAATTGTGGAGAGAAATCTGGTTCATACTTAAATTGCTAAACCAACCAAATTATGTAATTCAGAACATTTCATAAACAAATCCCTAAAGAAGAAAGTATTAATGTCCAACATGGCTTTGCATTAAATAGAAATATTAATAACTTCAGTATTTCTGGGTATAATCCACTACAAGGAAATTTAGACCTAGTTAGCTGAAGAGCAGGGATGATTAATCTATTTAACATAGTCCTTTCAATAGACTGGGTAGATTCTGATACACTTGCCAGATACAGTATGCAGCTGCTGACAACATGACCTTTTCAAGTAATACAGTACATTCTGTGTAACAGAATACTTGATAAGGAAAACCAGTCTGCAAATGAATCTCCAGCACTATACACAAGTCAGGATAAGTTGTGCCATTTTACCATACGTATCTTAAAAATTATGAACAGCACCTGATAAATATTAGTCTGAAATACAGTTGCATGAAAATGCATGCATCTTTCAGTATTATGAGCTAAAATAACCACAG